TACCTTTCTCCATGGTGGTCCAAGTACTTTTCCCAAACAAAGGAAGACATGCCTTTTTCAAATACACTGTTATTTAAGGAGAGTACTTCAATCACCTTCCCCAAGCACTTTGATGTTCACTCTAAAGAGAACTTCAAGGTAGAAGGGGGCTTACTGAACCTTTTTATTCTTCAAACCAGACCACTGACACCATTAGCAGCTGCAGGGCGGTCAATGAAATCTGTCCCTCACCTTGAAACAAAACCAGCTTTGGGGCAAACAAGGAGAACCAAAAAGTGACCAGAGAAGGGAGGTAGAGAGGAAGAAGCTTCCAGAAAGCATGAGGTTTGATAAAGAAACTGGAAGTGTGCACAGAAGAAATACTTCAAGGGGTTTCTAAGAACTATCCACTTAAGACACTCACTATTAAATTCTGGGATTTATCTAGAATCCCACACAACATAATTTCAAAGGACAGTCTGTGGTGGCATTTTACAGAACTCACGTCCAGGAATTGGTGGATTTCCAGATCTTTGGGAATAATAAGAAGGTAAGGGAAGAGTCATGACAGGAAAAAAAGTCTCACCAGACTGGATGTGACCAGGGAATAGCTCTCTACTCTAGAGACCAACTTCGCAGTGCCGAAGCCTTCTATTTACTGTGTACGAGTCACCACATGGGTCAGAAGAGTGGGGCTCTTTCCTAGTTTTCACCTGGACTTGGGCATGGGATCAATGTATCTAATGAATACAGTTCAAATAAGTTCACCAACATTATTTAGCAGTATTGATCTTAACAGACACACATATAACACATATACTTTACCACCCCACCCCACCCTCTGGCTCTCAGAACTTATTTAAGTATAAACAGACAAGACACATATATATATACACACTTATATACTCTCAAACCTCCTTTCCTGTTTATCTCTTTCCAGTCTTTGCCCATTTATAATTTAACCACTTATCAATTGACAGAAAAGTCCTCATCCCCATTCTTTTCATGCCCCAAATCAACCTAAGTGTAATGCCTGTCTTTTCACAGGCTGGAGTGGAAGGTCCCTCTCAGAGACTTAAATTCATTGAGCACACATACAAGAAGGTCTCTGGCTTCAGAAGTGCAGATTAAAAGTGACGCTCTGGGGAAGCGTCAGTGCTGAAGAGTTAAAAGAATCATTTTATTGCTTCTGTTGTCTGGAAAAAAAATGAATTTACACAGAGGAGGTCCCCCCCCCCCCACCGCACCAATTTTGCCTAATTCATGAAATGCTACTGCATTCAAAAGAATGAAAAAACATTTATTAGCGTTTCTTAGCATCCTCAGGCAAGCAGCTCTCCTACATCTCAAGATGCCAATCTCACTTCTCCTCCTCCTCTTCTTTTTTTAATATAATGAAGGTCCTTGTTGAAATGAGTATTAGATCAGTGATTCCAAAAGCAGGCCTCTGGGGAGTTACATGACATGTTTGAAGACGCTGTGGTGGGGAGGGAGGAAGAGCAGCTGGCATGCCATGTTTTCCTTACCGCGGGCTAGGCAGGCGTCTATGCTGTACCACCCATTTGACCCTGTGCATCATATAAAGGCGTGGTTTTAAATTATGTATGTACCAAACTTTAATTTTCATTTCACACTCCAAAGTTCTGTACAAAAAGAGGCAATGCAGGCAAAAAAACAAAAAAAAAAAAACTACATTACAATGGCTTCGGCAAACAACATATAACAGCGTCAAAGCCCCTTCTAATGTGCAACCATCTTTACAAGAATACTGTGACAACAGAGTTCTGAAGGTTGGGGCTGGTGAAGATAAAATCCCATGTTAGTTATTAATGTCTAGAACATTTGAGAGACGCCTATTATATAGGATTGAATGAGAAGTCTGAACTCTACTGTACAACGGGATCCCTAGATTAGGCAGGTTTCATCTTGCTCTTGAAGAAGCAGGAAATAATGCTGACTTAATTGTGATGATGTCTCAAAAACTTAGGCTTGTCATTCATGTTTGGCATAACTGTGATAACTAAGAATGTCTGCTTACATTGATGAGGAGTACATTAACTAAATATTAAAATACACCCAAGACCTTCTTCGTGGTCTTTAGCTAGTACTCTGGCTCTAATATTCTGGCTCTATTTATCACAAATAAAAATATCCATTTTCACCAAGCTCTTGCTATGGATGCCTAGGTGAACGGGAGAGGAGTTACCATGCCAAAAGTAGAAACATGTCTGGGAAACGTCATTTTTACCTTCTTTCGTGCCTCAAATTAAATATCTGAGTCTTATAAAACACTGTATTTTAAAACTATGAGACATCAATTATGAAGTACTATTAACACTGACCCTGTCCCTAGTACTTGCCCCCAAACCACCCATGAGTGCTGGATACATGTGCATATAGCACAAAAAAAAAAAAAAAAAAAAAAAAAAAAGGAAGAAAAACCAAATTGTTCAAGATGCCTACTGGACAGTCTGTTAAGAGAATTGGTCTCCCACAACAGTTCTGGAGTGGACTCAGGGCCCATTCCCTGTTAGTGATCACAGACACACACTCAGCCTGTCCTCTTGGTGACCCGAGGCAACTACTCAGGCCCTGGGCTTCTCAAAATTCAAGTCCAGTGGAGTCTTATCTTGGAGATAACAGACTGGTTAAACTGAAGCAGACTGACAGCACCCGTACACACATTTGGTCCCATTGACTAGAAAGTCTAACTAAAAGTTACAAATGTCCTCTGTGTGTGTGTGCATGTATGTGTGTGTGCGTGTGCGTGTGCGTGTGTGTGTGTGTGTGTGTGCACGCGCGCGCACGCGTGCATGTGTGTATGTGTGTGTAATCTGACAGGTAATCCCTAATGTTATCTTATGTAGCCAGCTGAGAGGCAGCTATGGTGTAGATACGTGGCTTGGGTTCATGGCTCAGGTCTGTGGGTAAGAACCCAAGAGAAACTGGGCAGTCCTTTCTTCTTTGAAATCTCAACCTCCTCTCCTGAGGAAAGGGCAAATAGACACATGCTCATTTGTAGTGTGCATCTCCACCCTTGGAGGCTTGAGAGTTGCCCAACTGAGCCCTGCCTATGGCTGTCAAATAGAACATCCCTAAGGCTGAACATGGGAGAATGACATCCCACACGATCACACTGTATGGCTTCCTCTGGATCTTGGAATTTCTAAGTTTGACAAGGTCACGGAAGCCAATGAGCATGATTCTGTTCTGGTGAGAAGACCCACATCAGTCAAGTGACTGTACTTACACTGCTGGTAAAGCGCCAAGGGATAGGGAGTTCCCCTCTCCATTGACTACATTGACATATAGACCAGGGAACCAGTTCCCCCATTTGTTAGCATTTCTTTGTTGAAACAAACCAAGTATCCCCTTTCTTGGAGGACTCAATGGAATGCTGGATGGCCACCCTAGCCTAGAAGTGTTAGTATTTCACAGCTCTTCTCTTGGAATATTACAAACCGAATAATACCATACTCTGATCATCCTAGACCTGACTTCCAGGGTTATCATTCATCAGCTGTCTGGACAATTCTCTCCTTCCATTGGAGATATGCAAGTAACGACAGAGGTTAGCCTCAAGATTTCTCTACAAGGGTCCACACACTTGGATATATTCACAGGCCACATGGTGAAGAAGAGTATAGACTCAGGAGGGAACACCCAGGGATCTAGTTCTATGTAGGAGTCATCTTGTGTGCCCACATCTTTCCATTAGAGGTTAGAATGTGTTTCCAAGATTCCATCCTAACTCAGCTCTGACTTACAGGCAGAAAGACTACAGGCCTGGTGATATTGATAATCATAAGGATACTCACTGGAATTTATGAATGAAGGAAGGTTGGTGGAGAGGCTCCTATTAGCCCTCCAGGACTCTTAGAGCTGTTTTAGATTTTTAAAAGCTTCATTTATTTTCTTTTATGTGTATAAGTGTTTTTTCCTGCATGTTTAGAAGTGCACTATGTGCATGTGTGGTGCCCACAGAGATCAGAAGAGGGCATCAGATGCCCCGGAACTGGAGTAATGAAGAGTTGTGAGTCACCATGTGGGTGCTGGGAATCGAATCTGGATCCTCTGCAACAGCAACAAGTACTCTTAACCGCTGAGCCATCTCTCCAGCCCCAACACTGTCTACTTTATACATGAGGAAGAGCAGACTAAAAGCGAATCTGCCAAAGTCCTCAGACCAGCGGAGGATGACGCCAGGTAATCAGAAAACGCACATTTCCTCTCTCTAAATTCCTCCGGTTTGCTGGTAAATAACAAAGTGCCTTAGTTCTCAGTTCTGACACCGACAGGCCATTGTGATAGAGAAGGGCAGGGGACTCCCTTATCAAGAAGGGTGGTGTACCCAGAACTCTGCAGACTCACCTGGGAGGTGAGTGGTCTTATTTACAACCAGAGTTCCATTTATCTGTCCCCGCAGGCAGAGGGTTGACACAGATATGACTGTCCTTATGCGAACTCTCTCTCAAATACTCTTAAGATAGCCACTTTCTTCAATCCCCCTACAAGAACCCCTCTATCTATCCCACTGCCTCCCCATTGGTGGATTAAAAGACAGGCAATTTTCCTCTAGCAAAACCTAAAAGGGAGTGAAAGGGACACGAATTGAGACAGAAGGAGAATGTTTTGGATTAATAAAACACGTGCATACAGAAAGGTTGCACGCACGCGAGGTTTGCAGGCGGAAGGGGCGGGTGGCATGCTGAACTCAGAACTTGTGCCACGCTCTTCACATGCATTTTTCTTATCTTGGATTCTTCTCCCTCTCTCTCTATCTCTGTCAGGGCAACAGTTGTGTGTGTTTCTTGTATCTGAGCCGACACAGGAAATCAAGTACTTTGTGTTTCTATAAACTATCCTCCCAGAGAGAGAACACATCTAGAATTAAAACAATACCACAAACTATTCAGAATTTCGGATTTGTTACAGGTCTCATTACAAGACTCCAGCAGCCAAGATCGAAGTTTCCAAATGTGGCCCTTGGAAGAAAGGATTTCCGTTTCAGACGTCAAAGGTAAGGCTCTCAAGACAATTTATGCTCTGCTGGGTTGAGTCAGTCAGGATACAAATTAAGGTCCATATATTTCAGTGACAAGAAGGAAATGGTTATGTAAATACATAAGTATTAACATCAATCTGTATTAAATTATGTAAACATATACATCTTCTGAGGTCAGCACACAGATCCTCTTCTGGGAGCAGGGCTCTACTGAAGCATTGCTCGAATCTGTTTGGAAGTCGATTCATCATTCAAGTGCTTTGTAGTGAACCTGAACGGGGAAAGAGAGTTGGATGTCAGGGCTTATCCAATTGAAATTTGTAAATAAAAACCATAGGCTCACTTCTTTAGACAGAGAGCCATGTTTTGGTGTTCATTCCATAAAGTCTCTGCAAGTTTTTTTTAAAAAATAATTTATTTAACCTTTATTTTATGTCCGTTGGTGTCAGATCCCCTGGAAGTGGAGTTACAGACAGCTGTGAGCTGCCATATGGGTGCTGGGAATTGAACTCAGGTCCATCTGGGAGAGCAGCCAGTGCTCTTAAGCGCTGACTCATCTCTCCAGCCCTGAAAGTTTATTTTTCATTTGACTTTGCTTTGCTCTGTAGTCCACACTGACACTGCGCTCATTCTATAATCCAGGTTGTCTTCAAACTCATGGCAATTCTCTTGTCTCAGCCTCTCTATTGATGAGATTATAGACACACCCCACAATGCCAAGCTTCTCAGGCAGGCAGCTATGATACTTGCTTTTTCTTGTGTTGTGAGTATTAAACTCTCTCTTTTTTTAACCTCATCAAATGATTACAAAGAGGAGACATAACTGATCTCATTTTCAAGGAGGTAAATTTCACAGCACTTAGTTCAACGCCATGTCCACTGAGGCTAACCCTACTGAGTTATGGAATTCTAATTAAGGAATCCTAAAAAACGTTTAGTTGATGACTGTCTACTGTAGGGACTGTGCTTATCCCCATTGCCACCACCAGGGGGCACAAATGCAGGTACACCACGGAAGCTGTAATCTGAAGCATCTCCCGGCTCAGTCTGGAGTGTAAAGATTTGTAAAAAATTGACCTCTAACAAAACTTTGACCATTTGTTAGGCACTCTGGGCCACAAAGAACTTCTTAAATGTGGTAAGTGACTGGATTTCACAGGTGAGAAGGATGAGGGTCAAAGAGCTTCCCCGGCTCACTCTGAATCACACAGCAGATGGTTTTGACTCAGGACCAATCTGTGACTTTTGACTTGAGCCTAAGTCTGGCTGCCATGAAAGTCTACACTCTTCCCACTTCATCGTGTGTCTCCAGGAAACACACATTTCCACACTGGGATGGGAAATGATGGCTCTACACGATGTCCTGATCTCCAACGTGTTTCGGCAGCTAGAATGAAGCTGGAAAGTTCCAGAAATTCCGAAGTTGAAGTCTTCTTAATGAATATAGAATGCCAGCCTGGTGTGCTTACTACTGTCTCCCTTGGGGGAAAATCCAGGATTCAGGAAGCTCTTATGGTAAGGACTCATATATGTTCTAAAGATGATGGGTTGGCCACGCAGAAAAGCTGCAACTTTAGTGTCTTGAGACTGCAGGTTTCTTTTTCTACTGAAGGAGAATAACAGATCAGTCTTGGGTCGATGGGTTGCAATGGTTGCACTGGATAATGGGACTGGGAGAGCTAGAGCATTGCATGTAGAAACGAGCGCTGCCTCATTTCTCTTCGACTCATTCATGTTTTCTGCATATAGTACATTGCATGGGACTGAAGGAAATGAAAGGCTAAGACAGCAAGGCCCTTAAGTCTTCCAGATTAAAATTCTGTACTGGGATGGTTTGTGCGGTTCAGCAAAATTCCTTTGGATGCAGCACAGCTAAAAATAACCATCTCCTCCCTGAAGTGGACTAAGTGAATGATGTACCCTTGGGGACAGAGAAGATGCCTAGAAAGTAGGGACACACTACAGCTGGCTAAATATTCTGGCATCCAGCAGTGAACAACAGGTCTTCGGTTCTGGCAGCTTGCATGTGGGAGCCACTTGGGGAGTTTGGACCAAGCAAACCAAAACAAACAAGCAAGCAAACACAAGAGGGATGCTTGAGCTTCCAGGCCAGTGATTTCATTTACTCGGCCTGCGACCTCAGTGACTGAAAACTCCCCTCGTCTTCCTCCCATGCAGCCAGGGTTGGGATCCGTTGGTGAAGACTGACGTGACCCCTGGAGGCTCTCCCTTTCAGGAAACTCCACTATTCACAGAGCATCATGGTCAAGAGTCGGGGCTAAGCCCGGTGGGGCCACCCAGACCCAGGTATAGGTCCTAACTTGGCCCTTTACAGTGTGACATGGAAAAGTTATTTGAGCTCACATAGTCAGGTATGGGTCTGATGGCTCATACCTTTAATCCTTTAATTCCAATACCCAGGAGGCAGAGAGAGGAGGATCCCTGAGTTCCAACATGGCCGGGACTACACAGATAAACCCTGTCTCAAAACCCAAAAACGTAACTTTCCTCATTTCTCCCATCTGTAAAAAGTGAATGATACTAATGAGGCTGCCCTCCCAGCATTGTTAGGAAGATGATGGCATGAAAACAAGTGAAGGGCTAAGACCCGCTGCTCAGGCTTTTAGCCCCCAACAGCATCCCAATTTGCAATGGTCTGAAAGGGAAGCGGCACTGTCAGCCCGCCCCAGAGACAGGCTTACCTGAGAGCGTTCAGCAGCCCTTCCACACTGTCCGGGGCCTGTTCCTTCAACACCTTTATGCAGCCTTTCATCTAGAAGAAGGAAGGACAGCATCTTGTTAATATTCTAGTAACCCTGTCCATAGTGGCATCTGTCGATCCTAAGAACTCTTTCCAACAGCAGCGCGTGGAAATCATGAATAAACTTCGCTACCCTCTCAGGACGGTGCATCGTGCCTCTGGGTTTCTCAAGAGTTTTGGATGACTGTATGATTGCAATCTCTATGGATTTCCATCCTATACCACAACTGTCTATTTGACTTACTCTGGGGATAAACATCTTGCCTTGTATTCTGGAGCCCAGACCAAGAACAGAAATCACTCTCCTTGGTTCTCGGTTGAGATTCAGCAAGTGCTTGACACGCTCAATAATTTAATGTTTTTTCTACTAAGAATGCTTCTCCTCTTTCAGCTGTTGACTGGCACACCCTTCATATTTGGTAAAGTCTCAAGTTTCACCAGCACTAGGCAATGTGTGTGTGTGTGTGTGTGTGTGTGTGTGTGTGTGTGTGTGTGTGTGTGTATACCAGTATATGTGTGCTACATACATGTGGAGGCCAGAGGACAACTTTAGCTGTTATTCCTGAGGTAATGCCCACTTAATTTTTGAGACCGGGTCTCTTTGGCCTGGAGCTTGTTAAGTAGGCTAGGGTGGCTGACGAGAAAGCGTCTGCCCCTCTCCACTCCCCCAAGGCTGGGAATGCAAACACACCAAGTACATATGCTTTCTTTTTAAAAAAGTGGCTTCTGGAGATGAACTAATTCCTAGTGCTTTCAAAGTAAACACTATGCAGACTGAGCCCCAGGAAGGTTCTTTTCATCTCACTCTCCATACCATAGACAGTCACTACCACTTATTTGTGACCCCAATATGGCTTTGTATTTATTAGATAAGTCTGGATGGACAGCCCCTCCTCCAGTCAATAGTCTCTCTCCCTCACTAGACCAGTAACTCCTAGAAGTGCAGGTCTGTGTCTTAACCATCTCTGAGAAGACTGGTAAAGGGCATTTGTAAAGGATGTGAACCTTACAGAGGTCAAATGCCTAGTTTTTATTCATACTGCTTGGTGTTTGCATGAACTTATACAACTTTCAAAGTTTCCTGAGGCCTTGGAATTAAAGTTATCTAATTCTGTCATGAAAATTAAAATTTACATAGATCATGTTATTTTATGCATATCCTGGAGTGTTTTACTTATCCTTTGGAAAAGCAAAGATCTTTCTATAAAAAGTCAATCACTTATTCTAATCTTAGACATTCATGCAGTATGTGGACATCTGATGAGTTTGATTATAACAACAGCGGCATGCAGAGTGGCAACTTCTCAACATTTCTTGTGGGTACACATCTAATATGCAAAAGTTTTGTGGTAACAGCTTGATAGACCCAAGACTGAGAAACATTTGGGGGGGTCACACATCAATGTGTCATGGTCAAGTACATATGTCTATCAAAGATACAGGTTTGGAGAGAGGCTACAAGTATACCAGCTGTGTGATGGGAGCAGATGCAGAGAGCCACAGCCAAGCACTGGGCCGAGCTCCTGGAGTCCAGTCCAAGAGAAAGAGGAGGGATTACGTTAGCAAGGTGGGGCCAAGATCATGACAGGGAAACCCACAGAGACAGCTGACCCGAGCTCGTGGGAGTTCACGGACTCTAGACCAACAGCTAGGGAGGCTGCATGGGACCAACCTAGGCCCTCAGCATGTGGGCGGCAGCTGTGTAGCTTGGTCTGCTTGTGGGGCCCCTAGCAGTGAGACCAGGATCTGTCCCCCCGGCTCATGAGCTGGCTTTTTGGAACCTATTCCCTATGGTGGGATGCCTCGCTCAGCCTTGATGCAGGGGGGAGGAGCTTGGTCCTGTCTCAACTTGAAATGCCATGGGTTGTTGACTCCCATGGGAGGTCGTGCCCTTTCTGAGGAGTGGATGTGGGGGAGGGAGGAAGAAGAGGGGCAGGAGAGGAAGGAGGAAAAGCTGTGATTGTTTATGTAAAGTAAATCTTAAAAAATATGCCAGTTATGTGCCACTCTAGGTTTGTGATGGCACCAGGCCCAGAGATGCAGAGAATTTTGTCCCTCTCCCATTAGAGATGGGGGTGCAGTGGGAGCAGAGAGACAGGTAGCTCAACATCACGGCGGGGTGGGTGCTCACGTGACGACATCCCGAGGGGCAGTGAGAGCAGAGATGCAGAAGGAGGTGGACGGGCAGTGGGTCCTCTTGAAGAGTCTCCAGTTCTATTTCAGGATGATTAAAACCGTGGGTGTGAATAACAAGAAACTGTCAGCAACGGATTCAGGGCCAGAGCCAGTGTGGGTTTAACAACCCAGTCGGAACTTGGAGGCTTTTCCTTGAAGAAAATACCCTTGGCAGGTGTTAAGCACTGGATAAATATAGTGAGGATAGAAAAGAACTAGAAGGAGGCGAAGACAGGAAGAGGAGGATGAGTGAAAATCCATTGGGATGTGAGGGGTAGGAGTAGCAGGGAGCTGAAACACAGGGAGGGAGGGATGCTCAATCCACGATAACCTATGAGGATGAGGAAGAGGGATGCAACAATTCCTTGGATATGAGGGATGACAGCTCTGGAGTTCTTCTAGCTTGGATACTGGATGAGAAGATGGGACCATATCTAAAATAGGGTTCATGAGGGAAGGAGACCCTTTGGTTGGGGACTGGCCATGTTTCATGTCTCCATAACAAGTGTTGTCTGGAATTATGGGCCACGTCTTGGCTGGGGACAGGGTGAAGGTATGATTCTTTATGGGGCCACCTCCTAAGAGGTGTGTGGAAATCACTTGAGAACACCAGTTCATCCCCACGCATCTTTCCTGACACCAAGATTGCCACCTGGTCCCTAAACAGCTCATTTTTCCCTGAGTCTTGGTAATTATTCTGACCCTTCCTTCTTCCCTCTATCCATCTGAAAAAACCCTTGATGGACTACCTCCAACCCTACCTCCCATGCCGTTGCCTCTAAGCAGAATCTTCTCCCCCTCAACTGGTTTCTAGAGCTCTCCACATGTCTTCTTTGCAAACCAGGCCTCACCCTTTGTGTGTATACCCAGTACCTCTTCCAGAGCCTCACAAAAAAACATGTTTCCTCACAGTTGATCTAACGTCTTAGGGACTTATCACCAAGTACCTATAACTGCTGCTTTAGATGCAGAGTCGTATCTGGAAGAACGGACCCACCTCAGAAAGGTCTGGTGCTTAGGAAGCCTAAAACCTTCTTAGAGGCACATGCCCAGTTCAACATGAACTGGCCTTTCTTAATCTGCACTAATAAACAGACTTGAAGAATGCTCAGGAAAACCAACATATTCCCCATTTGAGAACTTAACAGACTCAGTAAGTGGCATAGAAAGCCAAGCTTTTTATAAAGTAGGGTGACAGGCACTGGGTAGATGGGTCAGTGGGTAAGAAAACTTGCTGTAGAAACCCGAGGACTTGAATTTAGATCCTCAACAGCCATGTACAGATGTCATTCCTGATTGCATGTGCCTATAACCCCAGAACGTTTGGGTGAAGATAGGTGGATTCCAGGAACTGACAGGGCAGCCAGCCTAGCCAAATCCGCAAGCTGTAGGTTCAGTGAGAGACCCTGTCTCTAAGGAATGATGGGAAGAGTAAAAACATAGGAATCCTGCAATCCTTCCCTGGCCTCTGGAGGTGTGTGCATGGGTACTCCAACCCACAAACATACGTGAACACACACATGTGAAAAATCACAAAGAAAAGGTTAAGGGTACAAAGGGCTCATTTCGCCCAGCACAGTTTTAGTTGTTGACTCTGTGGCAAGTTAACAGCTGGCCATGGTAAACCAAAATGCCATAGGTATACCAGGTGCTAAACTGAATTCATAGTCACATGATATTTATAGTTTTTTTTAATAGTTATTTACACTCAATCTGCAGTGCCAGACCCTTAAACCTCCACAATGAATACAAGAAATGTATTTATTGCAAGGTCTTCATAATATATTTTTATGTAAATGAAATATATTGCAAAACAGTACACAGGCTTCTAATTTGTTAGGCACATGTACCCATCAAAACACAAGTAGCCATACTCACTTCTCTCTGCTTCCTAAATGTGAATGCATTGTCCCAGGCTGTCTAAAGTTCCTGTTGCCATGACTTCCCACCATGATGGACTGTGCCCTGAGACTATAAGCCAAAGCAAACTCTTCCTTAAGTCGCTTCCTTCAGAGTAGTTAATCACAGCAATAGAAAAAGTAACTAATATGGTGTTACAGGTAAACGCTGGCTGACGGCAGCAGCCGTTTATTCTACAATCAGCAGGAAAGCAACTGCAGATATCACGTGCTCCCAAAGGTCTCTGCATATGCATCCTTCTTTCTTTAGCTCACACTTATTCACTGAGTAGATGCTCTATGGGGGCCTCTAGTGGGTATTAGGCACAGTATCCCAGGTCCCAGGACATTAGGTGCCTTGATCACTGTCCTTATACACTTAAAAACCTGGAGTCTGTGGGAATGTTAGAAAAGGCATATTGGTAAATGATGAGAGGACCAGAGGAGAAGGAAGGCTTTACTTCTGTAGGGCACAGGAAATGTGATCCTGGGTAAACTACAGCTAAATAGTGTTTGGAAGAAATCCACCCACAGAGGAGGAGGTAATGGAGAGACTCTTGGATATTGCAATAAAAACAGACAGGTTGGTTGGTGGGGCAGCAGGTGAGGTGTGATAAGAGAAGAAGTTAGAAGGTCATTTGGTCTCTGGCCATTGTGCCTTGTAACCCAGAAGCTCCCAACTCTACTTACATTATAACACACAGAAGGAACAGAGGGTGCATGGACAGGGAGGCTGGGATGGATGAAAGGTGGGGTGAAGGTGGAGGTGGAACATCTCTGCTCAGCTTCACTAAGGCCTGGAGGAATCAGCATCCCAGCACCATGTGAGAAAGAGTGGACTACTTGCTAGGAAGAAACCTGCCATGCATCACCAAGACCTACATCTTGGAGAGGTCTTGCTCAGTGATGGATGGAGGCCAGAGGAAGAGAAGCAAGGTCTACCTGACGGCATTCATGGGCTTTTACGTGGAAAGTGCATTACATGAAAATTCTTACATCAATCTTGGATGTCTTGCAGAAAGCTCCCACGGGATGCACGTGGTCATAGAGGATGATGACCCCCACCATCACCCTCATGCAGAACATGAGTGTCTCCTCACTTGTAAACCTGCTCCTGTATTCCCTAAAAGAGAAGACACAGCCATGGCATCACTTCCTTGTTCAAACACATGCATTCTGAGATCCACAACTGGCTACTCCTCTACCCCCACCCCACACCCTCCATAGAACTCATCCAGGACCTGCAACAACCAGGTTAACATGCTCTTGAAAAGACCCAAGACGATAATTTTCTTTGAATCTATCCAACTAGCAATTCAGTGCAAAAAATACGGTAAATGAGAGGGCGGCAAATTCCTTTTTCTGCTTCCCTTCAGCAGCTAGCTCACCATGTACATCAACCCCTGCCCATCAATCTTGAATATTTTATAGCCGGCCCCTCTGGCTGTCCAAGATTATAGAGAATAATGGCTTCATTACAGGGGGAAAGAATCAGGCTCATTTCTACACTGCGGTTTTCTTGTCTCCAGCTGGAGCCACCTCCTTTGTTAAGACACAGGCTGTGGATGAACTCGGATTGGCAGATAGCTCAAGGAAATTATGTACCTGGGAGTTATTTGTGGAGGTGAAATTTTGCTCACTTACCTTGATAGGGACCCTGATGATTGCAATAATTTAGGCCAATGCTAGAGACGTTTTTAGCATCAATTTCATTATGAGTTGGCCCCACAATGCAGACAATTACTATTTCTGTCTTGAAATAAATCTTAACTTTGATATGAAGGAAAGATTTAAAATTAATACCCTTTTATGGGGCAGGGGAGATGGCTCACTGGAGTAAAGGATTTGCTGCACAAAAGAGAGGACCTGAGTTTGGATCTCTAGTGCCTACATCTGTGCCAGGTGGTTGTGCTGGCTAGTTTTATGTCAACTTGACAGAAGCTAGAATCACTGGAGAAGAGAAAACATCAACTGAGAAAATGCCTCCATAAGATCTGGCTACATGAAAGCCTGTAGGGCATTTTCTTAATTAGTGACTGATGGGGGAGGGCCCAGCCCATTGTGGGTGGTGCCATCCCTGAGCTAGTGGTCCTGGGTTCTGTAAGAAAGCAGGCTGAGCAAGACACGGGGAGCAAACCAGTAAGCAGCACCCCTTCATGGCCTCTGCATCAGCTCCTGCCTCCAGGTTCATGCCCTGCTTGAGTTCCTGTCCTGACTGCCTTCAATGATGGACTAAAATGTGGAACTGTAAGACCAGTAAACCCTTTCCTCCCCAACTTAACTTTTGATTATAATGTTTCATTGCAGCAATAGTAATTCTAAGACAGCCGCCCACCTGCAATCCCAGCTCTTGGGAGGCAGCAACAGAACATGCCTGCAGCAAGCTGACTACCCAGCCTAGTCCTATCAGCAAAATCTGGATTCAAATAACAGACCCTGCCTCAATATACATGTCAGAGAGCAATCAAGGAAGACACCCACAGTCATCCTCTGGCTTACACACACACACACACACACACACACACACACACACACACACACACAGGCACATATGTGCACACACAGGCACATATGTGCATACACAGGCATGTATGCGCATGCACGCATGTATATGCATCTGCAAACATGTGCACCCTCATGCATATGAATATGAATACACACACATGAACACCACACACATACATACATGCAAACATATAACAGGGTAAAAAAAAATCACTTTATGTTTGAAGACAGTCAGCTGCTGTAAGGTGCTTGTGACACTTTTGGGCTCCTAAACACCCTACAGAGCAGATGGTATTATGGGAACGTTACTGGAGACAGAATACAAGGAAGGTCCAGAGAGGCCGGGTTGTCCATTCACAGCCACAGTGAGCAGTGCAGACTAAACATCCCCAACCTTCCCCTGCAGCTGTGTCTTTCATCCTTAATGACCCCAATCAGCCTTCATCTTAAGTATCTAGCAACCAGTTTATTAACAAAGAAACAGAGTGTGAGGAGAGTTTTGGGGGGATTGCTTTTGTAGTGGTCTCACCATTGCTACACTTGGTTCTAAATCTCTCAGATCTCTACAGTAGATTGACGATAATAATACCCACACATCTAGACCACCTCTCCATTTCTTTGCATGGCTTATAGCAGTGATTCTCAACCTGTGGGTCACGACCCCTCTAGGGGATCATCCAAACCGTTCACAGGGATAGCATATCAGATATCCTGGATATCAGATATTGACATCATCGTTCATAACAGCAGCAAAAATTGTAGTTATGAAGTAGCAACGAAAATAATTTCAAGGTTGGGGGTTACCACAACATGAGGAACTGTATCCAAGGGTTGCAGCATTAGGAAGGCTGAGAACCACTTTCTTATAGCCTCCCACAAGCTGTAAAAACCCTTGTGAAGCCAATCAACCCATCAGGGCCTCAGCTATTTCCGTTGTGAAATGACTATAACATGGACACAGACCACCCTGAGTTTCTACTGAAACTGAAGCAAATACCATACATGGAAACTTTAACATGACATCTGAAAGAGGACATGCCACTATCAACACCTCTCAACAGGTCCCAGTTGGGTGGAAGATTAGCCAGGCCCACACCTCCGGTTTCACTTACGGTGTCTCCAGCATGACCTTGCAGACGCTGGTCATCGTACTGAGGCAGTCTGTGGTATTCTCTATGGGCAGGGTTTTATTCTGAGGGGAGAGACACAAACACACATTAGTCCTCCTAGCAGCATGCATGCACGCACGCATGCGCGGTGAAGAAAGGGCACTCGGTGCCGCTCGACGGCACTTACCTCTGAGACAAAGTGCATCGTGGCATTGCTAAGCGTCTTCAGCATCGGCGTAGCTTCTGCATAGAAGAGGGACATCCGATTGGCCATCTCGTTATTCACTTCATTCTCAATGTCTAGCTGATGAAAGCAAGAGAAGAGACAGTTATATAAAGTCGTTATTTCTAAACCCAAGTTCCAGACAAGCATGCTGCCTTCTTTCTGGGCCCTGCCTGACGAAGAAGTCAAAGCAGCTAGGGAGAGAGGGCGGCCCCACCGGGGAGATGCAGGGACTCACATGCATGTTGTTGATACGGTTGCGACTTATTGTTCTTCTATAGTAACTGAAGTCATTCTGAATAGCTGGGTTCCTCATCTGAAATTCAGGAGAAAAGAAAGAAGGTCACCTTCCAGAAACAGGTGATGGGGCAACACTGGGAGACCAGACATGGTGAGACTTCTCTTTGTCATTCAAGAGTTGGAGCAACCATTAAAAATAAGAGGCTGGGGGCTGGAGAGATGCCTCAGAGGTTAAGAGCATTGTCTGCTTTTCCAGAGGTTCCGAGTTCAATTCCCAGCAACCACATGGCGGCTCACAACCATCTGGAATGAGATCTGGTGCCCTCTTCTGGCGTATGGCAAACTTGCAGAAAGAACACTGTTTACATAATAAATAAATCTTAAAAAAAAAAAAAAAAAAAGAGGCTATAACTCCAGTGTTCTGAAATATGTCCTGTTCTTACTGTGGGCTGTATTTCTGGGAAAACACATTTGCCCAGTGAGGAAAAAAAGACACTTGTATGGGGTTTCTCTGCACTCACTTGACAGATTTCGAATTTCCACATGCAAGTCACCCTATTAGCCAACTCTGACTGCACCATGTGGAATGCAAATATTCACCATTATAAGCTTCCCTGGGGAAAGTATGCCATCCCACCCGGGCCCTACAGCCTTAGCAGAAGAACCTTAAAGCGGTGCTACCCAGTTCAACTTCCACAGCACATGTGGCCTGACCTTCAGCTCATCAAATCGAAGGGTAAAATGTAAGATTTCTGCAAATTCCTTGGCCAGGGCCTGCTCCCGCTCCAGGTGTTGGGTTGGTGTGTAGGGAGGACATGTCAGAGATTCCAGTAAACTCTGAAGAGCTTTTTCTGTAATTCAAGGGGAGACAGAGATATAATCAGGGAGACCAGAGACATCCTTTAATAGTACAGTGTTCGGGTTCAAGTTGGCATTCTCAGAGGCAACCTGCATGGCTGTTCCCTTTCAAATGTTTCCTAAGCCCAGTTCACTTAGTAATCTCACTTCCTGAGCCTTGTAGAAAACCACGAATATATGTATGGAGCTTGTGTGCATAAAGAACCACGAATGATTCAAGTTAAGATGAGTGGGCTGAGGAGAAGGTGCCAATCAGTGAAATGTCTGCTGTGCAAACACGAGGACATGCAAACATAAACCCTAATTTATACCTATGGCACCCACAAAAACTCCCCAGGCATTGGGGTAACCCTGTGCTTTGAAGGTGGACATGAGGACAGAGATAGAAGGGTCAGGGATCTCTAGGGCTGGGTGGTTTAGCTAGTCAGTGAGCAACAGAAGACCTCAATGTCAATCTCTGGTCTCCACACACATATCCAAGAACCCCAAACACACGGGTTAAGTCACCTGCTTAACACAGTGCAAATTCTCTTCTAGCGTGCTTCTCTGTTTCTACACCCCCAGGATATTCCTCTACAAATCTACTACATTTACCTTAGTCATTGTTCTTACAACAATCTCATCCCTCCCATTTGCCAATTTCTAATCATTCCCCACTCTTTTCGCTTCCCTCTATCTTTTAATAGCAAAGTCATTTAACCGACCTTCTATGGCAGGAGTTGATGAACTATGACCCATAAGCCAAATCTGGCCCACTGCTTGTTTTTATAAATAAAGTTTTATTTAAAAAGTAGGTATGTTCATTACTTCCTGTATTGACTAGGACACTGTTGATGTTGGCACTACAATGGTAAAAATCTAGTTACTGAAAAGACAGTTCACAAGATGCAAATTCTTTCTCTTCCCCTTGAGTTAGAACTCAGGTTGGAATTTCAGCTCACTACATCCAGATGCACAGCGAGGAAGCACAGAATTCGATTTCTCTTCTGCCTGAGCACCTGAGGCAACCTTCTTTGTGAAATCAGTTTGTACCACCTCCTCAGCTGGTCTTAACATCAAGTCCTTCTCAAAATCACAGTCATGGTTTTAATTTCGGTTTTCCTCTTAAAATATGGCACTCATTTTAGAGGCAGATTAAAGCAGAAGTTGCTGACTACCTTTTCCACTCTAAATATACTATGTTAACAAATGAAACCCCAAGCACTGGCAGCGATCACACCGTACTGCTGGTGGCAGGGAGCCAGGCTGTCAGCCTCATTTGCCTCCACTCCAGCTTCTGCAGAGTCATGCTGTTTCTGTGCAGCTTTATTTTTGTTTTTGGAGCTCAAGTAAAAATGCTAAGCTTATTTTCTGACATTTTGCATTCAGCTAATTGTGGTTTTGGGGGGTGGGGAAACCATAGCACTGGATAAACTCTATCCTTCAACTAAGTAACAACTGAGACCGATAGACAGGAGCCTAATCCAGTTGTCAAAAGAGAGGCTTCATTCAGCAACTCATGGGAGCGGGTGCAGAGACCCACAGCCCAACATTAGGCAGAGCTCAGGGAACCCCATTGAAGAAGGGGTGAAAGGATTATGGGAACCACAGGGGTCAAGGACACTATAAGAACACAGCCCTCAAAATCAACCTAGCAGGGCTCACAGGGGCTCACAGAGACTGAAGTAACAATCACAGAGCCTGTACTGGTCTGACTGAGGTCCTCTGCATATATATTATGGTGTGTAGCTTAGTGTTCTTGTAGGGCTCCTAAAGTGGGAGTGAGGATGTCTCCTACTCTCTTGCCTGCTCTTGGGGCCCTTTTCTTCCTACTAGGTTGCCTCGTCCTGCCTTGATATCAATATGTCTGCCTAGTCTTATTGTAACTTGTTATGCCATGTTCGGTTGATAACCCTGAGAGGACTGCTCTTTTCTGAAAGGAGACAGAGGAGTGGATCTGGGGGGAGGGAAGGAAGGAAGGGAGGGGAGGAGAAATGGATGGATGGATGGAGGGAGGGGAAACTGTGGGTAGGATGCAATGTATGAGAAAGAGTAAATGCTGCAGTCAGGTTGTAATGTATGAGAAAAGAATAGATAGATAGATAGAAAGATAGATAGATAGATAGAAAGATAGATAGATAGATAGATAGATAGACAGACAGACAGACAGACAGACAGACAGACAGACAGATAGATAGATAGATAGATAGATAGGAAGGATAGACAAAGAACCAAGACCATGGTTGGAGTGATGGCTCAGCAATTAAGAGCACTTGCTGCTCTTAGAGAGGACCAGCGTTTGGTTCCCACCACCCTCATGGCAGCTCACAACCATCTGTAGCTCCAGTTTCAAGGGATCTGACACCCTCTTCTGGCCTCTGAAAGTTCTTCTATGCAATGGTGTCCCTAAACTCACACAGGCCCATATAGAACAATAAAAAAGAAGTCTCAAAGAAATGATATCAGTAGGCTTTGAAGAGCTGGACACAGATGAACACAGTGAGAAAGTGTCACAATGCCATGAGCAAGAAGAAACCCTCCATGTGCCAATCAATGACTTTCAGAGAAAGAAGAACGTGGTAGATCAAAAGAAAGAAGAATGATGGAAGTTGCTTGTGAATATCCTCATAATATGCAAGTGGGGGATATTTTCCAACATGTAGAGCTGTTCCCTCTACTCTCTCAAATGGCAAGATAATAATAATAATAATAATAATAATAATAATAAATATAATTATAATAAAAGAAGTGCCATGTGGGGCATGATAACTCTAGTATTCACTCACCAAGCCGGATGGAAAATTCATAAAACCGCTTCAGCCTCACGACCAGGGGGCAGACCGCATTCCAAGCCTTTTCTTGAAGCTGAATGTCATTGGGGTTTTGAATGGCCTACACAGGAGAAAAAGAGGGTGATGATAAGTTTCCAGTTTAAGAAAACTAGTTACCCCACACCAAAGTACCCTGAATGATTTGAGTTTAAAAAAAATGAAATCCCTAGTGTGCTTTGAGGATGAGAACCACATGAGTTGACAATGATTATCTGGACGATTCCCCAAAGAACTCATTTTCAAAGGCAGTTTCAACACTTGAACATAAAGCTAACGAGTCTCAGGTAGATCTTGTCTAGTCTCACTTGGTGTTGTGTTCTTGGGTTAAAGACAAAATCGGAATTGGAAGACTCAGCTCTGTCCATTAGCACTTGATTCATCTAAAGACTGCTCATTATGGAGAATGGAGGCTAGCTATTGTGTCTTTTGGGTGATACACTATGTCCTTGACAGTCTGTAATAATTTTTATACTTACCGTGACCTTGAAGCAGAAATGCCACCTCTTAATAGACTTTTCCTCAGCAGCATCCTGACAGTGGTGTGTTCTCATGAGGACAGGGTCAGAGGCAGGGTAAATTTCATGCAAGTGTGTGTGTGTATGTGTGTGTGTGTGTATGTGTGTGTGTGTATGCTTATGCACACGCACTCAGTGTATGTGTAAGGTTTTTCCTTCTCCCCAAAGGGTTTAGTCAGTTCAGTGCTGCCACTGACTTACATCTCGGATCTCTGGTCCTGCGCCTTTGTAAGCCTGTAGGTCTGTGAGAATGCTTTCGGAATCTTGGAGGACAGCACTGATCTGGTTCCATATCTCTCGCTCTCCTTCTGTAGGCTGGGCATCTAAGTGACAGAGAAATCAAGAGAAATTGAGGTCGGTGTTTCCCAATGGCTCTCAAAGTCCATAGACAGTCAGTTCTCCCAGCTAAGCGGCCCCTTCTCTTCCTCCAGCTTTGGAAGTTATTCTGCAAGTCTACAAGCTGTTAGGCGAGAAAAATGAACACAGCTTCTGCCCATGACGTCATTCAAAGCACCCAACATCCCTTTTGTACAGATTCAACCTAGTATGATCAAATCGTCCTAAGTGTTCATTTGCTAATTTATTTACATAAAATGCATTTTTGCACGCCTTATGTTCACATTGGGTAATAGGAGGGGTAAGCATTATTTTGGGGGAGCCAACTTCTTTTTAACGACCCTTTCATTGAGCGTATTCTTCCTTAAAGCTATCGCTTCCAAGGTGGTCGAAATCCGTAACATAAAATGCATCACCTTAGCCATCTTCAAATGTGGAGAGCAGTGCTGCCGATAAAGATATGAATCCTCCCCAACATGGAGCTCCATAGCTCTCTTGATCTTGTAAAACCAAAACACTGTATAGAGTGTGTGCTTCTTAACAGGAAAAACTACAGGTTATTTTCATCATTGCAAACGTGCAGACGAGTATAGATGAAAAGAAAAAAGCCCATTTGATACATAGCTCTTTTATTTTATGTATTTATATTATTTTATTTATATTTATATTATGTGTATATCTGTATATACTAATCAACTTTAAAGCTCACTTAATTTGAGACTGGTGTGATGACTCTGCAATCAAAGGCACTTGCTGCCAAGCCTAATGACCTGAGTTTGATGCATGGGACCCACCTAGCGGAAGAAAAGAACCAACTCCTGAAGGTTGTCCCGGGACCTCCACCTGTGTGTCATGGCACACCCTCTCCCCAAGAAATGGATGTAACAATAATAAAGAAGAAGACGGGTCATTCATGTGCACAGCAGCGGCACATCATTCCGGAACTGTGACATACAGAAGGCACCCAAACATCCCAACACACATAAACATCCCATCTAAGACCCAAGGACTGGGTAGAGTTTCCTGGGGATTCATCAGTGCACGGAAATACTCTTAGAAAAGAAAATCCATGGAAGTGAGAGGGGCTAGTCCAGAGGAAGAAAGAGGTCAGCAGGGGTAAGATGTGCACACACAAGTTTCTCGGCCAAGACACACCAGGAGTTCATTGTCAAAATGCCTGCTCTGTTTATCTCCGGTCTTGACTGTGTTACCTGTAGAAAAGTGTGCTGTGCTTAGGTTCGCATAAACAAAGGCACCATTCTGATAGCCACAAGGTGCTCTCTAAGCTCTCCAGGCAGATCTTACACTTTGGCATCTCTGGCACTCTTGCAGGTTCTTAACCCCAGAAGCATTTCATGGAGACGGACAGATGAGAAACATGGGCTTTCACTGTCCTCCTCATTGCTATGAATCAGGCTAGTTTCTTTCTGTAAAATGATACCACCGCTCAGGAAGAGAGGGACAGACAACATGTCATGTAACTATGGTTCCAGGCATTTAAGTCCTGAGATGAGGGATGCTGTCAGCTGACGCAGCTAACATAGCAACAAGGACCGAGTTGTATGACGTCTGACACTGCCCTGACCCAACCCCAATTGTGTTTAATCTTTCCACAATACAGAGGGCAGATGCTCCGAAAGTGTGATGTGTTTTCATCACTAGTGGGACTCGGGGGTGTCATAGATGGATTCACCAGACAGGTAAAGTGAGTACTGGCTGAGTGTATAAGCAGACTGGGCAACAAGGGCCAGAGCAGACCAGAGAAGCTTCTGTCCAACTCCTGACGAGTGACATCCTCAGTGAGTTTTGGACTAGTTTATTCACCAGGTCCTGCCAAAGACAAAGAAATTGGTAGTTTCCAAGGAACTAGATACAATGTCAACTAGAGAAGAAGCGGGTCCAAGGTTCCTGCTGGTCGGGGTTAGGAAAAGAATGTGGTTTGGAAGGAGCTGGAGAAGTCGGTGTAAGGAATGATAGCAGAGGTGGGAGAAAGAAGGAGGTATATCCACAAGGAGGGGACAGGGCGGCCAAGGACCAGGTGGCTGGCTGGAGCACAGCTGGGCCAGGAGGGAGAAAGAGATGTTGGGAGAGAGATCAGAGGCTGACCCAGGAAATGAAGGGGGAAGCCCAGCCGACTCCTCCTCTATCCCTGAAGGCTTTGCTTCCCACTAACACTGGGTAAACATTACCAGGTCTGAGGTGTCTCACAGTATGAATCACTTCATACGCTATCCCTTCTTGTTTCCTCAAAGCAATACGGACGTCGTAAGAAGAAGACTGCACATCCATGAGCTGGGAAGCCCGTCACTGCAGAGAGCACGTCGGTAGAACATCCAAGCGAGGGGCTGGAAGTTTCCGAATTGCAACCGCAGCAGGGAGGGAAAGACAAGACAAACAAAACACAGCAAAGCAAAAAGCCTACAAAGCAAATAAAAATGAGGCGCTCGCTCGGGAGCTGGAGAGATGGCTCAGTGGTTAAGAGCACTGGCTGCTCTTCCTGAAGACCTGGATTTGATTCCCGGCACCCACACAGTGGCAAATTATCATCTATAACTCTAGTTCGAAGGGATCTGAGGCCCTCCTCTTGGTTTCCTTAGACACTACGTACGTACATGGCATGCAGACATACATGTAGCTAACACACCCATACACATGAAATTTTAGACACAGCACAACAACAACAAACTACAGAAAAAAAAGGTACTCTCTCAAATCCAGGAACACACTGTTTATAAGGTAGACAATCTCCAGATGAGGTATCTAGAGAAGAGAGCATGTCCAACACGAGGGTTCACAGTTATAAAACTGTTTGTGAAAGACGGTGGCTTTGGGAGGCAAGGAGATGGGTTGACTCCCCCCTGTCACGTGGTCCCATCCCAACAAGGCACTAAGGAACAGTGTCATATGAAACAGAATTAAAACTAAATGGGCTATCAGAACACAGACAAAACCCAAAAGGCATCCTGTTTTTGACCACGGAACACGAAGAGAGAAAGCTTTCACACCACTTCGGAGAAAATAGAGGAATTTAAGTGTTTTCAACATAAACATCCTACCAGGGAGCCTCAAAGTGGTCCTACAGCTGGGAACAAGCAGCCCCTGTCTCCATAGCGGGTGAAGTGACACTTTCTTATATAAACTGACATGGACATTCTTTGGACCACAGAGAGTCTGCAAGAGAGGCTTGTGGGGCGGTATCCTTTCTATGTCACAGGAGGTAGATTCGGGGTGCGGGGTGAGCACTTTCTACCTGATAGAGCTGTTCTCCTAGCAGCTAGAGGACGTATAAACCAGGACCGTCAGTCCCCAGCCTCCTTCTCTGGGAAACTGTTTCCTTTGGCAGATGTCTCACCCATTAGGAATGTTTGTAGTGTGGTCCTGTTTAGGGGGTGGGGCGCAGAAACCTCATCCATCACTCTCCCACTTCCAGCCAGGTTCAGAGATGTGCTGGCTCATTTTCTGCTGTACTTTGTTAGTCTCACGGGATACCTGATTTCGCCCACCTTTCCTGTCACGGAATTGACGTCAATTTCTCTCTCTCTCAGCCAACAGTTAGGCCCCTCATGCCAGCCAACAGGTCACCACGCTGTCTGGACCGAAAGGTGGAATATTCACAAGGGACTCAAATCACTGGTGGCGCCAGCTTCCCAGTGCAGAGTGACAGCTGAGAGGCTCTGATCTCAGGACTGGCCAAACTTTTGACAATGTGACATGCTGTTATCACCTAAGGAGGTGTTGAGTCACACTTACAGTTATCCTGGGCTGTGTATGGACCAGGCTGCATGTGGGATGTGTCTTTTCTAGTGCCTAGCTCATTATGTAAGTGGGAAAAATGCTGCACAATGTAGTGGGTAGCCATTCCAGCTTTGATCTGGAAGTTCCAACCCCCATTGAGACTTCGGCAACTGTCACGCCTACAAGGTGGGGCCAAGGGAGGCACCTGGGGACCTGAGATCTGGATCTGGCGGGCGCTCTCCGTTCCGGGACCCTGGATAGTGGAGGTGGACCAAGCAGAGCTCCAGAGAACACTGCTGGACTGTGATACACCTTCCCCAGACCCCGCGACCTACCTATCCCTTAATTTGTAAGTTACGCCATTAAATAAATCTCCTTTTAACGACGTGAAGTGGCCTTAATAATTTCACCAACAGCACAACCCCAAGTGACATTTAACATCACCCCAAATCCATACGGAATCCAATGATTCATCCCATAGTAAAAACAAACAAACAAACAAACAAATAGAACAGAAGTAATTAATAAGAACTAGACATAGTTCTCTTGATTACATATTTTCAGTGCCTGGTTAGTATACTATATGGGCTCAAGGAAAATGTGCTAGACAGATAGTTGAAGGAATGATTTATATACACTTTCCACATGTTTTAGGATTTTTTTTTTTTTTTTTAGACAGGGTCTCATGTGTCTCAGGCTAGTCTTAAACTCACTATATAGTCCATTGATTGTCTTGAATTTCTGATCATCCTCTTTCGGCTTCCCAGGGGCTAGGGATTCAGGTGTGCGCCATATTGGGGATGGAACCCAGGGACTTTGGGGATGCTAGGCAAGCGCTATACCAACGGAGCTACATTCTTAGCCCCATTTGGGGATGCTTGTCTTTGAGTTCTGAGCTCTTTGGATACAGGGCTTACACACTTATATTCAGTACTCTTAGGACATCACATTTAATGAGGATAATAAGAATCTAGGAAACTGAATTCAGTGGGTGTTAGGAGGCAGTGGAATAAACAAAGGTTCCATCCTTCTAGACTCTGTCTTGTTTCCTTCCCACAAAGAGCTTGTACACTGCTATGTGTCTACTGCTAAGACATCCATACTCACCTGTGATCAAACAGACCCTGCTTCATCAACATGTGTGCTTAAATCTCCCACTGCTCAGGGCCTCATTGTGGCTGACAAGCTGCTGGGACATTTGCTCTATCTGAAAGAATGAAAAGCTGCCAGAGATCTACCATTCCAGTCCTGT